GGGGGGGGGGGGGGGGGGGGGGGGGCACGTTCTGACGCGTTTTGGGGGCTAGAGGCATTTTCCCATATTAATATGGGAAGCCTCCTGTGTTGCGTTGTTGTCAGCATCATTTTGGTTTGGGCCAAGCTATGCGGCCCATGACATTCTGTAGTCCATGTGACATTAAAAGGCACGTCAGCTTGGACCTAAATGGGAACAAGTGAGAAAACTCTTGCTTCATTAGAGAATTAAAGCTTTATTCCGAGTTTGAGTGTCCTAAACTTGAGAACATGATGAAATTTCAAAGCATTTTGTTATTGACTGTCGACTTTGTGTAGAAATTTGGCAAGCGACTAAAGGGAAAGGACTTGTATGTTATTACTAGTAGTGTACATTTTCAAGCTTTAATTATTTGCTAATATGAATAAATTTTATGGCATATAGGAGTATATGTAGTATATTAAATAGTATTTGCTTTAACTCACGAGATTGTGAAACCTATTTTACTGAAGATGTACCCATGGCAGTATGAATTCCTCTCATTCTTTGCATTATCTAAGTTTTAGTTAAATTTAAATCTCAGATAATAGCAGGTAAGTTGAAATCAAGAAAATATTTACATAATTTAAGAAAAATTAAATAACCAAATTAATAAGTTATCATACTCAGATTACTACGCATCAGAGAATTCAAATAGTAGACATTAATATATTAGCAGCAGAAGTCTAGTAGATAAAGTTTATATGGGCATTGAGAAAATGAAGATCAACTAACAAGCAAATTGTTTGATAACAAAACATCAGATAATCTCTTCAGGTTTCATTTGCAGAAACCCTCAATGATTACAGCACAAGACTTCACTAATAGAGAAGCACATGCCTCAAATGGATACATCTATGTACAAGATTTTTTTATGCTGTCTTCTTAAGACTTTAGATGAGCTACTAAGCCTGCAACGACAAAAAAAAAAACGGATTATATCAGAACATTTTGATTCCGAGAATATTAAAGGAGGATCACTCGGAATAACAGAGAACTAACCCTATTTCTCGCTTCCAGTAGTGCACGCAGGCCTTCGAGGAGGAAGCTGATGATGTGGTGTCCGCTGCAATAAGCACATCCAAATTTATGTTAGCAGAGGGTTCAGTTCGATCCATATGTATAATTCTTAGAGAATGGCACAATTTATGCAACTGTGTTAGCATGCATACTGTATTAATGTAATGTTCACATTGAATTTTATATCAGGAGATAACCGATCACTGATTTCTGTAACTACGTCAACTCTACGAACTGAAAACTAGGGTAATTCTCATAAAACTACAATGAAGTTTAGGATGTTTTACACAAAACAATCATTAAATTTTTAAGAGAAAACTACCATGAACACTCAAAACTGCAGAAAAATATGATGATTGTTGGAAATTATTACTAAAGGTGTTAATGTCTTGGATAAAGATGCAAACTATCCTTGTTATATCTATCAACCAGGAAAGTTCAAAACAACATATAAGACATATGAAGTATACAACGGTAAAATTGTCCAAAACATGTAGCGTGTAAAGCAAGTGACAGCATACCATTACATTCATTTGAAAAAAAAAATCATTAGATATCTCTAATAAAAGAAGTTTACGACAGTTTTGTGCAAAAGACCTCAAAATTGATGCTAAATTTTCAGAAACATAAAAATCGATGCTAAATTTTCAGAAACATACCTTAACATAATCAGTAGAAATAAGTTTCTATCAGCAGACAGATTTTATGGAAGCTTTGTAAAGTTGTCTTTAAATTCTATAACAGTGTCACTTCCTATTATTGACACAATGTTGGAGTAAAAATCTGAAAAAAATCTGAATACCTGCAGCTTAGGCCTCAGGGACTCCACAGCAGTTCTTGTCATCTGGCCCGGGTTTGTACCTTGCTGTTGAGAACCATAAAAATAAGAAGACCCTAAGTTAAACTGTTTAAATTGACTAAAAATTTATTTAGCTTAATTCATCTTCAGTTCATTTTTGCAAATGTATCAATTGAGATTGTGATCTATTGGATATACCTTGCCAAGAGCCCAATCAGCAGAATCAAAATAAGCGCGTTCGTTGTCCTAATCATAAAGAAAAATTCACAAGTTAGTAGTCAACTAGACAACGAAAGGAATGGTGAAAATTTGTAGATGCCAATTTTGTGAGTATTTATTCCAAATTCAAGATATTCTAAATAGACCCATACCACGATATTCCCCCCTGTACAAGTAAGATTCTTTCTTCTTACCCACAGAATTCTGTTGCATTAATAGGAGGAAAAAAAACAACTTTTTCTGATTACAGTCAAGGAACTGTATCCGTAATTCTAATTTCAGTTATAGAGATCTCTGGCGTAATAATGAAATCCTTATATGATTATTAGTCTTTCTTATTGTAAACGTTAATTAGCACAATTTCACATCCTATGCAATTATTGCCAAGTAACATATCTGAGTAATGTTTCATGTATAGAGTTCATGATCATGAAATATCCACATTTTATCATGAAGAGTACGAGAAAATATCTTGAGATTTGCAGAGTAGAAGTGCTCATAAACAGAGGAAGGATAAAACTTACCTTTGAGATCAAAGGCTTCTTTTTAGGCACAAGCCCTCCATACTTCTTCTCTAGAGACACCTATAACAAAACAGTAAATCTCTGTTACATTTATCCAATTTCTCAATCTAAGTTGTCAGCAAAATTTTTATTTGAATTTACATTATCTTTTTACTCAGTAAAGAATGCGTGTCAAAAACAAATCAGGAGGTAGCCCATCACGTCAAGTGTTACATCGTACATTAAAAGTTTGCTTTTTATCGAGATAAACTTGATGAGTAATCATTGAGTATGAGTGTAAGGCTAAATATTGTCCATAAACTTCCTCTTGATAGTGATTTGAGGCAAATTTATTTGGATGCAAGTGATTCCCCATTTGTAACCATTTGCCTCCTCCACGTGAATTTGTCCTACCCCCTAACCTTTCTGAATGTGATAGCTCACCCTCCCATAAATAGCATAAGAGTGACATATTTGAAATATTAAACTTCAAAACTTTTTCCGGTTTTTTGAAAATCTAAGAAATCCTTAATAAGTAGATGAACATTTGTCAAATGAATTAAGCCCAAATGATGCTTGGAACTTGAAAATCGAAAGCAATAATACAAGAAAATAGTTAAACCAGCAACAACTATATATGAAATACTACTGTTCTCTGCAAGACTAATGCTTAGCAATTACCTCTTGAGAAGCATTATCTTCACTATTGCGGCCTGCCATCTCTCTTATCCTCCCCTCTCTCTCTCTCTCTCTACACACATAAGAAGATTGTTAGATTCTATCATAAACAAATCTAAAAATGAAATTAGAAAATTTATTTTATGAGAACTGAAACATGGGTCATGGATTCAATGAAATGAATAAGCAGAGGGAGGGAGGGAGGGAGGGAGAGAGAGAGAGCATGCACCTTGTAGCTACAGAAATTAGATGTGGAGAGAGGAGGAAAAGAGATGGAAGGGGAGATGGAAGGAGAAGATTGGAGGATATATATGTATGAAAAGAGTTAGATATGGGGAAGGTAAGAAAGCAAGAAGAGGGAGGTTGAGTGTGTTGGGATAAATGAGAATATCTTCTATTAATTAAGAGAGGGTGCGAAGAGAATGAAGAGTGAGAAACAAAAGGTTTTCAATTTATTTTTATTTTTATTTTTATTTTTGAACAAGAAAAGTGTGCGAGTTGGTTAGGCTTGTTGTGGTGGTTAATCCATGCCAAATGTGCCCACTTGACCCCTCCACTTCCCGCTCACGTGACCAATTCATGTGCGCAGCCGACGCACGTCTTGCTCTTCAACCAACCCCTTTCAAGAATTTGTAGATATTTTTGCTCCTTTGAGTTTTTCTTACTTGATTGATACCTTTCTTTGTCCGAGTCTTTTGATTAGAACCTTCCCTCACTCTCTTTCATTTTTCCCCCTTTATTGTATTTTAAGCTTTGCGTTTCAAATGTTCTTTCCTATCTTTCTTTTGTGTGAATGACCCATCTTGTAGGTGTGATTCATTTGGTTGGTTGAAGTTGTTAGTGGAGGACAATGGAGTTAATTTAGTACAAGTCAACTTGGACTGAATAACCTTATACTTTGTTAAAATTTTCTCTTTGCATGAGAATAATTGTACGCGTAATTTATTTATGGGTTAATTGCAAATAAACCCCACCGTAGTATCATTGTTTTAGACATACGGCCGCTCGCTCTATTACATATCGATCCCCTAAAGGAAAACTTGTTGGCTCTTCTACCCTCAAAGAAAGAGCGCTTTTTTGTACAAATAAAACACCTTGAAGCCGAAGGTAAATCAACAAAACTTACTTGCCGGGTCTATCCACTATAGGCGGTCAAAAATGCTCGCTGTCAGATGAGATCGACCCAATGCAGCATGAGCTCGACAATAGGCAATTTGGTCATTTAACATGATCCATGGACTTCTCAAATCTATCTATCTATCTACCCTTTAAAAGAGGGAGTTCTAAGAAAACTTTCCTTAACCCAAATTACCCTTTCACTGTTGTAAATATAACAAAGTTGTCCTCATCTTTTATTTCATTATTAACTTAGCATTAACTTAAGAAAGATATTTTTTTTTCCGTTGCTCACAAATCAGAAGATGTAAAGCCCTAAACATTCGTTCCTTTCCTTTTCCTTCCATCGGTTACGATTTTCCTCCGGCAACTCAGTCCCACTCTCTCTACCTCATCAATTGGTGGTTACGAAATTGCAAAGATGGCATGGCTTGATCAATTTAGCTCTTTGGTAGCTGAAATGAGATCGATATTCGTTCTGTTTGTAGTAAAGTTCAGTCCTTTTTTCTCTGCTGCAGGAATTTCCTAAGGGTTTTGGTAAAAATTCCTAACTGCTAAAATTAGATTGAATTACTTTATCTCGGCTTTAGTTCGATCCTTCAATCTCTGCAGGTTAAAGCACTAATTCCAATTTATGTGCCTCTTTTTTTTGTTCTAAAGACTTCAGAATTGTTTCGGTTGACGTTGTTCTCCTTTTCTTTTTATATATTTTATTCAGCGGAGGAGTTAAAATGCGGAGAAGATTGAAGAGGAGAAGCTCACTCAAGAGTCGACTCCTATCTTAGGTAGGGCTGAGCATGGTTCGGTCAAACCGAAAAAACCGACCGAACCGATCCGAACCGACCCAGAAAAATCGGTTTTATGAGTAGGGTGGTTCGGGTCGGTTTGAAAATTTTTTAACCCGAACCGACCGAATATAGTGTAATACTACCCATTTTGATCTCAAACCCTACCCGATCCGTCCCCAAAGAGTCAAAGACTCAAACCCTAAACTCATTTTCTGAATCATTATGGGTTGAAAATAATATCATTATATCAGTGTTTAATACTTCATAATCTCCTACTTTGTTGATATCTTTTTTTAATACAGTTTGTTATTTGATAAGAAGTTTGATGAAATTAGAACCGAACAAACCGAACCGAACCGCACCGAACAGACTTGCAACAGTTCGGTTCGGTTTTGAATTATAGGTGGTTCTGTTCGGTTGTTCAAATTTTGGTAAAAAACAAACCGAACCGACCGTTGCACACCCCTAATCTTAGGTACCTCTCATGGTCCGAAAACTAGGGTTTTCTCTAATTGATTGCAAAATTTTAGATTTTAATTGATGTTCTAACAAATTTTAGATATTTGCCCTAGTAACTGAATACCCTTCATAATTAATTGACTGCAAAAGACTACGAGTTATCTTCTTAATGGCTTTTCTTTCATGCAAGCCAGAAAATGAGGATGGATCACTGCATTGAGAGGGCACACATTTGGCGGCGGCACAAATGTGTTCAGGCTTTCTATGAGAGATTGAAAGAGATTGTTTTAACTTTTCCTCCAACCCTAGGAATGTTTGTTTATAGTTGTTTAATTAATAATATTTTCTTGCTTCTTTGTTTAAATTCACGAGTATTATCAGCAACATCCTTCTGCACAAGTTGTAGATGTGACCAATAAGTTTAGTGGATGTCTAAGGAAAAGTTGTTAAATTTAGTTGTGAGGTATGCAAATTCTATAATACTACTAAAGAAAATTATTACAATGTTGAAAAAATTTGTAGTTTACAAAATTGAATGTTGCATTAACTGGTTATAAACTGTTACTATGTAAATGTTGAAAAAATTTGTAGTTTACAAAATTGAATGTTGCATTAACTGGTTATAAACTGTTACTATGTACGAAAATCTTTTTGTAGTTTTTTAAATTGAATGTTGCATTATATGGTTATAAATTGGAAGTTATGCGTACATAAGAGAATAATAGAGACAATATTACACGGAAAAAGTCTTAACAGTAGTTGCTTTTTGGGATTGCTGATGGACATGTGTGCGAAATATATCGGGTAAGGGTTGGGTTAGTTTTGAGTGTAAGGTTGGGTTGAGACTTGGGGACGCAAACATTTGTCAACCATCTATGGCGAAGGCGAGCTCCAGTCGCGTATTGCAACTGTCTCTAGACTTCCTCATATTACATTGTCCTCTTCATTCTGAAGATGTGTAAAAATAAATATACGCTCATAATAAGTGAAGGACTGACAAGGTACATTTATTTCAACTGAGCTTATAGTCACCACTCCTTTTAATTCTTTCTATAGATCAACCTTAGTTGTACTTTTGTTGGACTACTCCTTGTTTGTTAATGATTGGTGCGACACATAGAACCTACAACATTTGTTGGACTGTTTTCAGCGTTTTGACTCGTTCAAAGCACTAACAGAACGGTTTCAAAACCGTTTTCCCCACGATTTGGGGAGCTGTTTAAGAGGGGGCGGTTACACCCCACTCAGCCCATTGAGGAGCAAATTAAGGGGGCAGTTACACCCCCTTAATCCCCTATAAATACGAGAAACTCAATTGAGTTAAGGGATCAGATTTTTCTCTCATCAACAAAGAGAAATTCGGTCAAGGGCTGGCTTTTTAGACCTGAGGATTGGCAGCAAAAAAGAGCATTCGTTCTTCGACTGGAGCTTTAGAGGTCGACAATAGGAGCTCCTTTATCCTTGGCTTATTAACCGAACTTTCGGTTTAAATCAACTCTTTCATAGAGATAAACTCGATCTGAGTTATCAACTCGTCCAGGGTTTCCAACTTGCTCTGCCAGTTCTTCTAAAACTCGCTCTGAGTTATTAACTCGTTAAGAGTTATTTTTAAGACTTGCCACGCAAGTTCTCCACAGCATCAAATCCTGAGGAGAAGACCACGTTCCAGTGAATCAAGACGTTCGGATCGTCAACGAGAAGTAAGTTCGACACAAGCAATCGAAGGAGGCATTCCATCGCTACCAAGAAGAACCCAGTTTTAAACAAAGGGGAGAATCAAATTCATTCTCCTCTCTTTTGTAATCGGAATCCAAATTGTAATTGATTTTGAGAGGAATACAAGTCAATTTTTCTTTCATTGTCTTTTTACTGCAAATTTCCAACAAACAAAAGATGGCGACTCCGTTAGGGAATAGCTTCTTTGACGAAGAAGTGGTGGCGCAATCTGACGTTCACCTCATTGAAACCACCGTCAAAACTCTCGTCGTAGAGTTCGACCAAGCCAAGTATGAGGAGGCCCTCTCCTCTGGGTCGCTTAGCCCTAAAGCTAGACGTGATACCCACAAGACCTCTAAGGAGGTCATCACTACTGCTGAGATGCCAAAGAAAGCCCTCTCCTTTGGCCAAGACCTTAAACTCGCTCTGCGAGTTGAAGACTCCTCACCCGTATCACTACGGCACATAATAGGTCAAAAGAGACCTATGTCGGAGGAAAACCCAATCAACGCCGACGACGTTGCGGCCAAGGCGTTGAAACAAGCTAAGAAAAACGCCGCTCGACGAAGGAGAAGATCCATGCGGCGAGCATATCTGTGGGATAGCCGAGCTACGGCCCAACGCAAGAACTGTGTTTCTGAAAATCTGCCCGAACTCTGCGTTTCTGCTCCAGAACGCACACTTCGTGGCAATGAACCCGACTATGAGCCTCGGGTTATCCAGCTCAAACGCGACCCTCAGTGGCGTGTTGTTCAATCCAGACGCACACCTCAAGAGTACGTCCCAAAGTGACCTCCAAAGGCACGTTCAATCATCCGAACGCACGCCACAGCCGTGCGTTCAGTCAGAACATGGCCCTCGAGGGTCTGTTCAAGCAGCCAAACACACACCACAAGGGTGCGTTCATCCAAAACACGACCCCCAGGGGTCTATTCAATCATCCAAACGTACACCACAGGTGTGCGTTCAATCAAAACCAGACCCTCAGAGGTCTGACTCATCAACCAAACGCACATCACAAGTGTGCGTTCAAACAAAGGACGACCCTCAGGGGTCCGCTTCATCATCAAAATGCACACCTCAAGTGTGCGTTCAACCAAAACAAGACCCACAGGGGTCTGTTTCAACATCAAGACGTACACCACAAGTGTGCGTTCAATCAGGACAAGATCCACAAGGATCTATTCCATCAGTCAAACACAGGCCTTGACCTCGTGTTTATAAACCTAAACGCGATCCTCGTGTTTCGTCTCAAGAACACGACATGGTCCATAAGGTTCAAGGGAGACAGCATGGATTTAAGGTTCATGT